ATGGTGAGATTAGCCTACTAGCTCATGTGAACATATGCATTATATAAACCCAATGGCCCAAATTGAATTTTGGCCGATCTGACGATCATGACCTCATTTCGTATTTGAATTTTAATTTATTTCTACGAATCCAAATAAATAAATTGAAATTTTAGACTTGTATATTTAAAAAATAGGAGATTCTAATAAAAATATCAAATAAATAATTTGAAAGAAAAAAATGGATCAAAATACCCCTGAAACGTTTCGGGGGTATTTTGGTCAATTTAGTTTTTACAAATTATTTTTAAAATATTTTTATTAGATGTGTCTTGATGAGAAGAATGAACGTATAAAATTTCAAGTTATTTAGATTAATAACAAACAAATTAAAATTAAAAAACAAAATGAGGTCATGCTTGTCAGACCGTTGGGCTCATATGTTCATATGAGCTAGTGGGCTAATCTCATCATTTTTCATATATATATATATATATGAAGATAATACAAAATGCCTATATGCGAAAATGAAGAGTGATTTTGTTTACCCTTATCACCGTCCAAAGTTCATCTCACAGTCACGATTGTCCGGTAGTGTTTCATTTTTCAATTTTTTTATACAAATCGGAATGACCTAAAATTTAGACCATATATTCATAAAAAATAGGCGAATCTACGAAAAATATCAAAAAAATATTTTACATGACAAAAATTGACCAAAATACCCCTAAAACTTTTAAGGGGTAGTTTGTTCATTTTTTTTTGAATTATTTTTTTTATATTTTTATTAGGTGTGCCTCACTAAGATTTACATACGCTCCAAATTTCATATCATTTTAATTTGTAGAAAAAAATTGAAAAATGAAATACTATCGGACATTTGTGACCTTGCGATGAACTTTGGACGGTGATGAGGGTAAGCGAAATCACTGTTCATTTTTCGCCTATAGGCATTGTGAAGACTTTTCCATATATATATATATATGCCATTTGTATAGAGCCAAGATTCAAACATTCAAATTAGAGCCCACCTCCAAAAAAAAATGGTTTCAATACTAGAAAGTTTTGTGATGGCCTTAAATCATCGTTTCATCTTTAGTTATAAAATTTAAAGCTTAAAAAATAGTCTAGATCGGGTTGATCTATGAAAACTTGAAAATTGACAGTCCTAAAATGTTTTGAGGTAGGTTCTAATTTGATTGTTTAAAGCCTAAGCTCTATATAAACTTTTTCCTAGAAATATAAACTTTTATATAT